TACTGCCTACTTTTTGAAACATCTTTTCTCTTTGTACAACCGTTGACCGAATGTCCATAAATCCTAAACACTGGAGACCTTAGGTTTCAAACATCCCTGAACTTAATTATGTCATTATCGCCTGCCTTTTCCAATTTCATCATTTATATTAATCAGCATCCTCTATTGGTAGCATAAGTAACACAGTAAGAACTGGTAGCACAGTAAGAACATTTCACTAAGGTATCAGTGAAAAGATTTCTATTCGAAAATTTCAATTCCATTAGAATAAAGAAATTTAATTGAGCGAAAAAATTTTTCCAAAGAACTTTTTCATCACAAAAGAAAAACAAAAGTCCTTTATTGGGAAAGTATTCGATTGTTTCAATTTGGGTGACTTTCTTAAATTGGTATTTTCAAAATTACCAATAAGTGCCTCAATTTTTGGGTAAAAAGAAGGTGAAAGCAAAAACTTTCAATGGTAAGTTTTTGATTAGCAAATTCTTTCACATTAAATATTTAATTTTTCGCGTTGCAGGTATAAAAACGTAAAGGCAAAGCATGTAGAGTCGTATGGAATGTAGAACTTTGAAGTCGTTTCAATCATCAAAAGTTTATCAAATTCATTTACAATTTACAATAATTAATTCCAGGTTTTGAGAGAGTAAATTTTGTTAAGAACGGTTGGAGTAATTGCAAGAAAAAAAGTTTAATAAAAAAAAGTTGAAATCTCTTTTGAACCAATAAGGAATTTTGATTTTCATTCTTAACTTGCAATTCAAATTTTACTGGGAAAAATTACGTAAAAAGTAGTTAAAATAAATGCAAGAAAAAAACCCAATAAAATAATATTTGTGAATCGTCAAATTGCTAGAAATTTGAGAATTTTTTAGAAAGGAATTGCATTAAAAAAAAATGAAATACTAATAATAATTGATGTACCAATGAAGATAAGTTTATCCTTTAAAAAGAGCGGAAAAAAAAGGGGAAATATAAATTAAAACCCTGTAAGTACTCACAAATCAGTCTTGCAATATAATCCATCAAAACTCGTTGACCTTCAAATGACTTTATATTTGCTATCCCATAGGCAGTAGTACATTTAAAATGAAGCAATTTAACAAAACATTTTAATTTATGACGTTATTAGATTGACAACCATTTAAATTAGTGTTTTGCACATAAAAAAGATTGAAATACTTATAAGGATTGAAGTGCCAATTTATCCTTTTTAATGGATAAACTTGAAAGGAAGGAAACATTTCATTTTTTCTCTGGTTCCAATTTGCGATTTCTTCCAATTCTTTCTATTATAATCATTAATTTTGTATAATTACAAATGAATTACAAATTTTTTACCTTTGACTTTGGTTTTAGGAAATTTTCTTTAGTATTTATATTACTTGTAATTTTTAAGTTTGTTTATTTGTTTCTTTTTTTGTTAATGTTTTTTACTTTTTTTTTACATAATTGATATTTCTATTATTATAAAATACTGCGAGTTTTTTGTTAAAATTGAGTTAATATTGAATTTTCTCATCTATTTTGTTATTTTCTGTTTTTTTTTCAATACTGTCTTTGAGTTTTATCAACTTTTTTGTGCTAAATTATATTATTTGATGAATTCTTTGTTTATTTGTACTTTCGTTTTTTATTTTTTCAATCAAGTTTTTTATTTTTTTCAATTAAAGGTAGTAGTTTGCCGTGCTTAGTTAACTATTATGTAGTTGAAGAATTTTCTTATTTAATTCTTTGATATGATTTTTGGTTATCTTCAGTCTTCTTTTCTTTTTTTTTTTGCGTTGGTATACTGTTGGTATCTACCGAATCTCTTAATTTAATTAATTGGTTGTTATTGGGAATGTTTTCTTTTAGTGTGTTTTGTGTACGAACAGAAATTCATTTCATCTTGAGTCGCCAACTTATGCTGATGGTTATTTATTTTTTAGCATAGGTCAGGTTTTTCATTTCAACTATACATGGTAGTTTTATTTTTTTAATGGTTATACCTACTTTGCAATGATTAAGAATTCATTATCATTTTTCTTTTCATTATCATTTTCTTTTGTTTTCTTTAGTTTTCATACTTTTGTCTGAAGAAATATTCGAGGATTCCAAGAATTGTCACCCCGAATTCTGGGGTATCTTTGATCGTACAATGAGCAGTGCTTGCATGTACCTTTCATCATCGATTAATTGTTGCTTTTGATGCTAGATTTTGACAAGATGACTTTTCCTTGTTTGAATGCTTTCTCTTTCATAACTTTATTGATAATTTATCAGTCTTTTTTTACTGTGTTTCATAAAATTCGCTAACTATTCCTAATGACGACAGTGATAACTCATGATAAGCAGGGGAGTTGGAATAATCTAAGGTATGATGACATTTGGAATATATTTCTTAATATAATATTATTAAGGTGTTCAGTTTACATTTATTTGCTCGTTTAAAAAAAGCAAATAAATGTTAACTTTAATACTATCCTTAATGATAAAAAGCTTTGTCATTAGATTACGCGGAAATTTTCACACTGTTTTATGTAAACTTTAAAGTCTTTGAACTTATGATTTCGATTTTCACATACTAAAATTACTGCTTGTCAATCTGTTTTGTATTGTGGTCGTTACATAGTATTAAGAAAGATCGTCTTGAGATATTTTCGTAAGGCTGTCCATTTTGTCGCAAAGCTTAACTAGTTTTTATTTTAAAAAAAAAAATATTTAAAAAAAAAAAAAAAGAAATTGAATTGAATGTTTTTATGCAATGATTGGAAGCGTAAAAAGATTTTCAGGTTCCGGAAAAACCTTCAAAAAAGATCTTTTAAATGGAAAAAGTCGGATATTATCTTTTTATCGTTCAGTTATTTCGCTCATCTAATGATTGTGCTACTTCACTGTATTTTATAAACATAACTATTTCAGCGAAAAATTTTTATAGTCAGAAAATTAATGAATGAATGGAAGGATGAATAATACAATGGTCGATTTCAAGTGATTTAGTCGAATTTTGTAAGATTACAAGCCAAGTCACTCTGGACTTACTATCCAATACAATATTGTCAAGACCTTAACATGAAAAGAAGGAAGTATAAGAAAGTTGGATATTTGAGTTATGCCCTTTGAGCTTTTCAAGAAATTAAAAAGTGAAAATGAATTAGAAAGAATGAGTCTTAAATATAACAGTTTCAAGTCAGTTTAAAATATGAAAAACAGTTCTTCTCAATATTTTAATTCGATAAAACGATGAATTTATTCCTACAATTGCTTATTTTATTTTCGTTTTTTTTTGTGTTGGTGTGTTGAAATCGTAATTGTCGATTCTACCGAATTTCTTAATTTAATTAATTGATTGTTGCTGGGAATGTTTTCTTTTAATGAAATCCATTTTCTTTTAACTGTGAACAGAAATTCATTTCGTCTTGAGTTGTAAATTTTTCGTTTTATTTCTACTCCATTCTGTCTGCAGAATGAAGGGAAAAGCAAAGAAAAGAGCAACTGCATGAGGTGGACGATGACCAAAAAACTCATCGCTTTATTGCAATGATAGTAACAGAAAAGCAAACGTAAAAATTACAAGTATTAATAATACTAAAGATAAATTACTAAAACCAAACTCAAAAGTAACAAATTTATGATTTATTTGTATTTATACAAAAGTAATGATTATGATTGGAAGAATTGGAAGAAGTCGCAACAAGTTTATCCTATAAAAATGATAAACTTATCCTTTATTGGTACTTCAATTCTAATTAATATTTCACGTGTAAAACTCTAATTTAAAAGATTTTCAGTCTAATAATGTCATGAATATACATGTGCTACTATCTTTGGGTCAGCAAATATCAATAAAACGATGAATTTATTCCTACACTCTTTTATTTTGGTCATTGTCCACTTGATACGGTTACTCTTTTCTTTGCTTTCCCTTCACTCTGCAGACAGAATGGAACAGAAAAAACGGTAAAATGCAGGATAAATAGTACGGTGAATTGCAGAATGAATGAAATGGAAATTGTTTACTGATATTTCCTATACCTCAGACGGCATACTGATTTGTTAACGAATAATACGATGATTGCGGCATAGATAAAAGATGACTTGTTAACTTATCATTGAGTTTTGTTTTTTCTTTTTAATTTTTCAATTTTTAAATTTGAATCTATTCGCTACAGCTTCTAATGTGAATGATGTCATGTGTGCATGGATTGTAATCGAAGTGACAAAGCAATGACAATTGCACGTGAAGGATACAAACAGAACCATATTTACATTTATATATGAAGGATTAAATGAAACACTACAACTATACATTCATACCTGTCTTTAACAATGCAAATGATACAAATGACTTGCTTTACAAATATTTTCAAAACAGATATTTTTTAAATTTTTTCATAGAAGACATTTCCTGGAATTTCTCTAATAGATATTTGCTGGAATTTTCCATAATAGATATTTTCTGGTATTTCCCATAGACATATTCTAAAATTTCCCGTGACGGATATTTTCTGGAATTTCCTGTGTTAATTTGTATTTGTTGAATGTAAAAAAACTTGTTTATAATTAGATTTACTTAAATTCATTGCAGAAATTAATTAAAACATTGAATAAATCAAAAAATGAAACAAATTGGGAAGAAATGCACAACTAAATTGCACATTTGTTTCTAATTGTCTTCGTCCTAATTAACTATTTATCTGTCATTCTTGCGCTTGACAGCAATTGCAAAGATGAGGAAGATTTTTCAAGCCGGCAACAATAAGCAATGACATAATTGTT